TGACCTTGATAGGTTGAACAGCGTAGTTCAAATCCTCACGTACCTCTACAGGTGGCTTCTCCAATACGTGAGAGGGATCGTGCACATACTTCTTAAGCATGGATACATGAAACACATTATGTATCTTCTCTAACTCAGGAGTCAACTGTAGACGATATGCAACGGCCCCAATCCTCTCTATAATTCTGAATGGACCTATATATCGTGGGTTAAGTTTTCCTCGGGTTTGGAACCGAATGATCCCTTTCCAAGGAGAAACTTTCAAGAATACCTCGTCATCAACCTTAAACTCTAAGGTTCTTCGACGCTTATCTGCATAACTCTTTTGTCTATCCTGAGCCGCCTTGAGTCTCTCTCGAATCAACTTCACCTTTGATTTGGTGACCTCAACCAACTCAGTACCCTCGAGTTTGGCCATGCCAACCTCGTCCCAGCATAACGGTGTACGACACCTTCTCCCATACAATGCCTCGTATGGAGGCATGCCGATGCTTGCCTGATAACTGTTGTTATAGGCAAACTCCACAAGTGCTAAGTGGTTGTCCCAACTTCCTTGGAACTCCAATGCACAAGCCCTCAACATGTCTTCCAAGATCTGTATGACTCTTTCAGACTGTCCATCCGTCTGTGGGTGGAAAGCAGTACTGAACTTCAACCTCGTTCCCATAGACTCCTGAAATTTCGGCCAAAAACGTGATGTGAATCGTGGGTCTCTATCGGATACAATGGTCACTGGGACCCCATGCAGCCTCACGATCTCATCCGTATACAATTTGGCTAACCTCTCAAGTGGGTAGGTAGTGTTGATAGGCAAGAAGTGTGCACTCTTTGTGAGCCTATCCACAACGACCCAAACTGCATCATAGTTCCTGATTGTCCGTGGTAAACCTACCACGAAATCCATAGTCACGTGTTCCCACTTCCATTCAGGAATGGAAAGTGGCTGCAATAAGCCTGCTGGATGCTGATGTTCCGCCTTAACTTGTTGACAAGTAAGGCATCGACTAATGTATTCGGCTATTTCCCTCTTCATCCCAGACCACCAGTAACTTTCTTTCAAGTCACGGTACATTTTCGTGCCCCCCGGGTGCATGGCATACGCCGATGAATGAGCCTCCTCTAAGATGGACTTTCGGAGCTCCTCATCTGCCGGTACACACACTCGGTCACGAAATAATAAGAGACCGTCATCTCTTTCTCTGAAGTCCTCCACCGGTCCCGCTTGCATGCGTTCCCGGATCTTCATAATTTCTTCGTCGGTTTCCTGACCCTTCTTGATCTCATCAAGTAAAGTAGGTCTCACCTCAAATCGTGCCAATAAGGCACCATCGCTGGATACCTCCAGTTGGGCTCTTAATGCCCTCAAATTAGCTAGCAATGCCCCAGACGAGCTCTTCCGGCTCAAAGCATCTGCCACCACATTTGCCTTGCCTGGGTGGTACTCTATCACTAGATGGTAGTCTTTTATCAGCTCCATCCACCGTCTCTGTCTCATGTTTAGCTCTTTCTGAGTAAACACGTACTTCAAGCTCTTGTGATCAGTGTATATGTGACATGTCTCCCCGTAGAGATAATGTCTCCATATCTTCAGTGCAAACACCACTGCTCCCAGCTCCAGATCATGGGTAGGATAATTTACCTCATGCTTCTTCAACTGTCGTGAAGCATAGGCAATTACCCTCCCTTCCTGCATCAACACACACCCAAACCCTTGGATGCTCGCGTCACTATAGACATCGTACCCCACACCCTGTTTGGGTAATGCAAGTACCGGTGCCTCGGTCAATCTCTTCTTTAGTTCGATGAATCCTTTCTCACATTTGTCATCCCATATAAACTTAGCTCCCTTTCGAGTGAGCTTCGTCAACGGCGACGCCAAAACAGAGAACTTTTCCACGAACTTTCTGTAATAGCCTGTCAATCCAAGGAAACTACGAATCTCCTTGACATTCCTTGGTCTCTCCCATTCGGTAATGGCCTCTATCTTCTTATTATCAACAGCAATTCCCGATCCCGAAACCACATGCCCGAGAAAGCCAATTTCCTTTAGCCAAAATTCACATTTAGAAAATTTGGCATAAAGTTGCTTCTCCCGTAGTGTCTCAAGAACGAGTATCAAGTGCTCTTCATGCTCTTCCTCACTCTTTGAGTAAATCAAAATGTCGTCTATGAACACAATCACGAATCGATCCAAGTATTTATGGAATACTCGGTTCATCAAGTCCATGAATGCCGCTGGGGCGTTTGTCAACCCAAACGACATAACAAGGAACTCAAAATGTCCATACCTTGTGCGGAAAGCACTCTTTGGTATGTCGTCTTCCTTAATCTTCAATTGATGGTAACCCGACCTCAAATCGATCTTTGAAAACACGGTTGCCCCTCGTAGTTGGTCAAACAAGTCATCAATTCTAGGCAAAGGATACCTATTCTTGATTGTGACCTTGTTCAGTTGACGATAGTCAATACACATTCGAAGTGTCCCATCTTTCTTTTTCACAAAAAGAACTGGTGCTCCCCACGGGGAGTGGCTTGGTCTAATGAAACCGTTATCCAAAAGCTCTTGCAATTGGGTTTTCAACTCGTTAAGTTCAGCGGGTGCCATACGGTATGGCGGTATGGAGATTGGTTTGGTGCCGGGCTCGACCTCGATCACGAACTCAATCTCCCTATCGGGTGGAAGTCCCGGTAAGTCTTTAGGAAAGACGTCCCGATACTTGCATACTACCCTAACATCATCAATGCTCGTATCTTCTTTGGTTTTGTCCACCACATACGCTAGATATGCGTGACACCCCTTCCTCATCATATTCTTAGCCCTCACGGCGGATATGATACAACTATTGGATTTTGCCCTATCCCCCTCGAAGCGTAAGGTTACCCCTTCATTGCCTTCGAGTTCAAGTACTTTCGTGTAACAATCGACCCTAGCATGATGCTTCTCAAGCCAATCCATCCCCAGGATTGCATCGAACTCAATCATACTCAGCGGCACGAAATCACACGACAAGTTTTGGCCCTCCACTTCCACCTCACACGATGGATAGTGGCTATCTCTCTCGATGTCTTCCCCTAGGGGTGTGGATACCAATAGGGCTTGAGCCATCGGTACCAGGGGTGCGTTGAATCCCCCGGCGAATGCCTCACTCACAAATGATCGTTGCGCCCCGGTATCGATGAGGATTCTCGCACATCTCCCATTAATCTTTAGTGTTCCTACATTTATAAACCATGTAAGATACCTCTCTAACATACCGACCAATCCTACGAAGAACATAATGCGAAATCATGTCCTTAAAGTGGGCAAAATCCCCCAATTATGGTTGACGTTCGCAGTTGAGATATAGATTGACACTGTCTCACCGTTTTGATCATATCTCTTCACATACTTAACCAAATCGTTCGATTCAAATTCCATCATTTAGACAATGAAAATATCTACAACTTTCATGAAGACAACTTTTTCATTTGACGAACACTTCGAGGTGTACCCGGTCGGGTAACATACTATACCCGATCGGGTATAAGTTCCAGTGGGTTCGGGCAGAATTTTTTTTTTTTTTTGACAAACCCGGTCGGGTTTACCACCATACCCGGTCGGGTATGTGTTCCAGAAAGTGTCTGGAAGATATTTTTGACAAACCCGGTCGGGTATACCACCATACCCGGTCGGGTATGTGTTCCAGAAGGTGTCGGGCAGAAATTTTTGACAAACCCGGTCGGGTATACCACCATACCCGGTCGGGTATGTGTTCCAGTGGACTTATGAGTGCAAAAACTTGTCCTACCCGGTCGGGTTCATTACCAAACCCGATCGGGTATGCGATCCAGAAGGTTTACGAGGGCAAAAACTCGTCCCACCCGGTAGGGTTTATTGCCCTACCCGATCGGGTAGTAGCATGGTTTTGCTCTCCTTTCCCATTTCAATCTTACGTCTGCTCCCACCTGGATTCTAGGATTTATAACTTCAATTTATGGACTAATTAAGGATAAAACACTAGTATACGAGAGGCAATACCTGCAACGGAATCCGGGTTAGCTTGAGCATCCGCCTCCGTCATCGCGTAGACCCTAGCTTGAGTCCTTCCTTGATTCACGGACGGCGCGTTGCTTGCGCTTGCTCCCCCTTGCCCCCTGGACGCTTGTGAAGTCCCGGCTTGATTCCGTGTCCCGGTATTACCACTACTTGGCCCTGATGCCCTCGTCCCGCCCAGTTGTGGGCAGCTCATCTTCATGTGACCGGTGCTCCCGCATTGGTAGCATCTAGGAGGGTCACGACATTTCCCCGGGTGGTTCCTCTTGCAATTCTTACAACGAGTCACCCCCGAGGCTTGTGATTGCCCGCCCGGGCCATGACTTCCCCTAGGTGGCAGTGGGGGTGTCCGAAAAGATCCCCCTCCCCCATGGTTCCCCTTTTTGCTAGGACCTTGATGCCCATGGTTCTCCCACTTCCTCTTCTTTGCCTCTTCGGCGTTCTTCAACTTTCTTTCCTCCCATTCTTTCTCTCCTTTTAACCCTTGCTCGACCACTTGGCTAAAAGTCATGTTAGGCAACTGTGTTGCCCTCTCACGCACCTCCAGGTCTAAGGCATCCCAGAAGTGATTTACCATCCGGTTCTCGTCACACACATACTCCGGTATGAACTCCGCGAGCTCCCTGAATTTGTGTTCAAGTTGCCTCACCGTCATTTTGCCCCCTTGGGTCAGGAGGGTATACTCTCTCCTCTTGGCGTTCACCTCAAAATCAGAATAATATTGGGCAAAGAACTCCTGTCGGAAATTCTCCCAAGTCACCGTGTTGCCATACTTTCCCTTGGCTCCGTCCCACCATGTGGATGCCATCCCTTCAAGCAACCTCACCGCCACCCTTAGCTTAAACTCGGGGGTGAGTTGCATATCAAGGGCTGCTTCGTTCAGCCTCTTGATCCATTCCGCGGCAACCGAGATGTCACCTGCTCCGTTGAAGGGTTTGCACCCCAAGTCTCTCGCCTCTTTGAGAAATTTTGAGATCCTTATGATCGGACCTCCATCACCCCGGCCCCCATGTGGTTCAATGTGGGCCCTAGAGTCGCCTTGGCTTCTTCCTCTTGAAGCCCCACCCAAAGTTCGCCCTCCCCGGCGCCTTCGGCGTTCCCTCCTTTCTTCGCGCTCCCGCTGATATTGTTGGAGCAGCGCCTCGATTCTGGCTAGGGAGTCATTCTCCCCTCCTTCATCACTTATATCATCGTCATCCCCTTCGTAAGGGGTCTCAACCGGCTCGGTCTCCGGTTGGTAAGTTGAGTCCTCATAGGACCAGTAGGTTTCACTTTCTGTGTCAACATGACCGTCACTCACGGTCTGTGATCGGCCTCCACGGCCAGCTCCCCTAGACGCCCTAGAGGTCCTTCGACTGCCCTGTCCAGTCTCCACTGGTACACGGCCCGTCGGGTTTCTCCTAGTAATCCTGCCACCACCGTCCATTTCTGAAAGAAATTTGGAAAGAGTCATTAGACTCGTATCAAATGTCAATTGACGGATAGGTACTTAAGACACATTTTGGCTCGAGTCACCGCCATACCAATTGCTAAGGGTACCATCTTAACAATTAGAGACCTTGCAACCCAAGTACCAAAAGCTCTCCAAGTACAAAACTCCTATGCTCATGGTTTTCAAAATCTTTTTCAAAAAGAGAATTTTGAGACTTCATTATGAAGTTTATGGACTAAGGCTCTGATACCAACTTAATTGTCACGCCCCGGACCTCCCCGGACACGCCAACAACCCGCCGTACAATACGAATAGTCAACCGCAGTCCAACACATTCATATTATACAAGGCGTCCCGAATATCATTCACACGTAAGCCATCCATAAACAAACATAATAAGTAATCGTATACATAGCGGAAAACATAGTTTGAAAACAAATGCCACACGTGGCTAACATGAGCACGCAGGCTCTAAAGTAAATATCCATGAGCATGTTTATTAATGTTTAAAACTGAATGGAGGAAGCACGAACCAAGTCTTCCCTCCTAGATGATCCCTCGAGCAACGAGCACAGGAAGCAAGCTCTAGCCTCAACCTGAAAAATGGTGGTGGGACGCCCCCGAAGGGGTCAGCACTCTATAGGGCTATAAAGTGCTGGTGTGGCAGGCATCTAATAGATATACAACAAGTATTTCAAACACAAGACCCTCAAATAGGGTGATAATATAATCTAGGCCGTAACCCCAAGTTACCCCGTTTTAAAATATACTTACTTTATATATAAAGTCAAGTAGTCGGCCCGTAGGCCCAAGGTTTGTTTATCAAACATACTCCAAAATCCCGTGACCCCTAGTCACAACAATACATAGGGTCCAACCCTAACACATATGTTTGCATTCTCGAGTCCAACTCGACTACATCACCATGCACCTTTATTAACATAAGCTAACTACTCCACCGTGCATTCTCGAGTCCAACTCGACTACATCCCCATGCACACAATCACCTCATCATGTCTACCCAATGCAATTCTATGAGCACGGGCTCAAGTACATCTCCTTACATTGGCATAGACCCCAATTCCTAAGCACTCACTAGGCCTAGAATTGTAATATCAATAATCTATCTTGGGACATCCCTACGGACTGCCCAACCATGGTCTTAGCATCACATTACATCAATTTAGTCACTTGCATCACAATCAAGTTCATCAATTACAATCAAATCCTTAGATTCAATTCTTCAACAATTTCAACAATCATTAACTAGTATTTCAATACTATTAAGATTATTCTTATCAATCATATATTCCATTTGTAAAACCCTACATATTTAGAGATATGTAGCAGCAACTTAATCATTCAATGTAATACATAAATAATCATTTATGTATCTACACAATTCACACATGAGTAAAATGCCTATTTCACACAATAGTTCATTTAGCTCCATTTTCATCAATACTTTACCAAATCATTTCTTATTTCATTCTTTGGAAAATAGATCAATATTCCATCAATAGGTTATCATCATAATCCATGGAAAACATTATTTAAGCATTTAGGTAATCTCATGCTTAACCTACAAGTTGTAAGCAACTAGATGTCGATCCTCACCTCAAATGAGCTTTAAAACCTTCCTTCTCGATCCAATGGCTAAAGCCTCGGCCAAGGAAGATTGGAAACTAGTTCCTTGCTTGAAAATGGGTGCTAAACAGCCTCCTCAAGTTGCTATTTCAACCCCGAATCGTTGATACTAAAACAGCCCCTAGAACGGGTGTTTTCCGGCTAACTCGATTCCTAGTTTTCCAATGTTTGCATCTAGGTTAGTATCTAACCTTTACATCAATAAAATAACTTAATAGGGATGTTTTATACACTTGGAGTAGTGTATAATAGTCCCACCAATCGTTCATATCATTTGGAAAATGAATGGAAAGGTTTTGGGATTAACAACTCACTTAGAAGAGTAAATCCGTCCCTGCGAGGTCTCGTTCTGCTCGGACGATTTGGAAGCCTTCCTCTACTCCGATTGATGCAAACCAGACCTTCACGGATTCCTCGTCTTGAGAGCTTTCTTTTGGTATCTCACACGCCTTAATTGGATTGGTAAAACTCGAGATATCGGCCAAACAGTCTCCGCACTCTCACAGCTCGAGTTCACAGACCTCTGCTCGTTCCAGATCGATTTTTGGATGATTGACTTCTCCTCTCGAACTGTGGCCACTCAAATATGAAAATAGACTTCAAAAGCTATCCAAAGACACCTTATACACGTTGTTTGGTCGAGTATAACTCCCATAATGAGTGGAGACAAACAGCACACCATTTTGTGCGGAAATTGACAAGGTGGGTCTCAAGGTTGATTCCAATCAAGTCTTGTGCAGCCCTCCTCCAGCTGGTGCGGCCAAGGTAAGTCTCCTCACTTAATTTTCTTGTGTTGTAGGTACTCTAATCATGTGGAGTGGTTCCCAATTGATCCCAATTAATTTGGGATCCAAATTATCTACCAATACTTCCAAAAATGGGGAAAATGGGTCCTATTGTTTTATCTTTGTCAAAAGATGTCTTTTTGTACTCATCCTAATTTATTTAGAACAAGTCAACTTCCTAAATCACATTATTGATCTCCAATATGTGTAGGCTCATCCCAATAATTTACATTATGAAAATTACAAACGAATGCGGGTTTGAACAATACAATATTCAATCATATACTTCGTAAAATATTAATCGTTTCTTCCATTGTTTTGAAATCGGAAATTCAATACATCACTTTGGAATTTTTAAATCGAATTTTCAAGGACGTTCGGGTGCGGTGTCACATAAAGTGATATGTGTATAATGAATTTCCAACCAACCTCTTCTTTACATGGCTCCCCTAGGGAGTATTTATAGGAGAAAAGAGGGTTGGGCTTCCAGGCTTGGGCCTAGAAGGCCCAACTACAATAAAAGGCCAATAAATGGCTAATAAATAGTATCTAATCTATTTTAATGGGTACATATGAATAAATATAGTGTACAAGGAAATAAATGCTATCTACTGAACATATGTGGGCCGCTGTCCGGGCCGCTGTCTGGGCCCAATAGTCGTGATACCCAGGGTCCGAGTCTATATACTCTATCAGAAAGGTTGACAAAACTCTATTTCAGATTTCTGTTGCTAATCATATTCTGTTAGTGCAAATTTATGTTGATGACATTATATTTGGAAGCACTAATCCAGATTTATGCAAGAAATTTTCTAAGGTGATGCAGAAGAAATTTGAAATGAGCATGATGGGAGAACTAAGTTATTTCCTTGGATTACAAGTCAAACAAGTTCCAGAAGGCATCTTTATCAACCAAGGGAAGTATACCAGAGATCTCATCAAGAAGTTTGGCATTGATGGAAAGTCTTCAGTCAAAATTCCTATGAATGCATCTCAAGGCATTGGACCAGATGATGAAGGGAAAGATGTTGATGCTACAACATATAGAGGAATCATTGGATCTCTCCTCTATCTGACTGCAAGCAGACCAGACATAGCTTTTGCTGTAGGAATCTGTGCCAGATATCAATCAAAGCCCAAGGAGAGCCATCTAGTTGCTGCTAAGAAGATTATCAGATATATCAAAGGAAATCCAAATGCAGGACTATGGTATCCCAAGGGAGGTAATTTTGAATTAATTGGTTATTCTGATTCAGATTTTGCAGGTTGTAGATTGGACAGGAAGAGCACTTCTGGTCACTGTCAATTGCTAGGTGGGCGACTTGTCTCCTGGTTTAGCAAGAAGCAGAACTCAATCTCAACTAGCACTGCTGAAGCTGAGTATATTGCTGCTGGAAGCTGCTGTGCTCAATTGCTCTGGATGAAGCAACAACTCAAGGATTATGGAGTACAAGCAAAGGAGATCAAGTTGCTGTGTGACAACACAAGTGCTATTGCCATCACTCAGAATCCTGTGCTGCATTCCAGGACAAAGCATATTGAGATCAGACATCACTTCATCAGAGATCATGTGGAGAAGAAGCACATCTCAATTGAGCATGTTCCAACTGAAGACCAGCTTGCAGATATCCTAACCAAACCTCTCTCTGAGGCAAGGTTTAACAAGCTAAGGGAAGCACTGGGAATGATGGATGATCTTCCTAGAGATTCATGAATCAGAGTTGCAGAAGTATCAGATGTGGATTCATCAGAACACCCCATCTCTGGTACCTGAGTTCTTATCCATCAGAAGCTTGAATCAGAATTGCAGAAGCATCAGATGTGGATCTATCAGAATTCACCACCTCTGATACGCTTATTCATCAGAGGACCCTGTATCAGAATACCCCTTCTCTGATATATGGACTGATATTCATCAGAGTGGCTGTGGACTTAGCAAAATTCTCTAAATTTCGGGCGAGACTGTTCAATAAACCGGAAGTTACCATATTACCCCCGGTAGTTATTACCATATTTGGAAAACGGCTTTCCGCCCACAATCCATTTAATGCGACCTCGAAACCGCAAATTATATCAAACGTTCACTAACCCAAACCCATTTATACACTCTCTGAAACCTAAATCGCTACTGCAATTTTACCTTCGTCTTCAAGCTTTATCACTCTAAAACTTCCAATTTTCAGACCTCTCAAATCTTTCCAAAACCTCAAAAATGAAGTTCATTAATATCACCGATCTCTCTGAATCTGAAGCCAAGGCACTTGTGGCTAACATTGCCACCGGGATGAAGGTTGACATGTCCTCCTTGCCATTGCTGGCCGAGAACAAGAAGGTCATGAAAGCAGTCATTGCTGGAATGCATGACTCACAGCTGAACAAGATAGTGGCTCACCCATATGAGCACTTCAGCAACCTTGATGTGGCTGAGTTCTATCTCAACGCTCACATCAGCAACAATGCTATTCACTCCCAAGTTCAGGGTAAGAACCTGAAGATCGATGCTGACGCTCTCAATGAGTTCTTCGGCATCCAACTCGACTCTCAAGACATTGACACTCCTACACTCATCGACCTGGAGTCTGTCGAGATTTCTGTGGAAACATTTGTGGACACCTACTGCCGGGAGGATGCAACCGGAGTCGATAAACTCTACATGAAGAAAAACCAGCTGAAAAAGGATTATGAACGTCTGATGAGCATTATGCACCGCTGTCTGTGGTGCAAAACCGGCTCCACTGATCAGATGAACAACACAAATGCTAAGGCCATCTATGCTGTTCATCGGGGTATGAACATCAACTGGGGAAAGGTACTGCTCCAGTCCATCTCTGAGTCTGTTGCCAAAAAGGACAAAAAGACAGGGATGTTCTCCACCAAGATGGGTCATGGACTTCTGATATCTAGGCTCATCTCCAATGCCAACATTGCACTTAGAGAAGCAAATGAAGTAAACCACAACAAAACCATCTTCCTCACCGCCTCCCCCAAACTACATGTAGCCGTTGCTGCAGAGCTGAAGAAAACTAGCAAGCTTGAGCAACTGAGGGAGAAACCAGCCACCACAGTTGAGGTTGCTGATGAACAGCCCAAGGCTAAGAAGAAGAAACTTCAGAAGAAGCATAAATCCTTGTCTAAGAGAAACGCATCAGAAGAGGATGCATCAGAACCGGAAGCATCTATTATGGCTCCCAAAGTCACTCCTGTCAAGAAAATGAGACAAAAGAGAAGAAGGAAAGCCACGATTCAGAGTGATTCTGATACTTCTACTTCTCCTATCAGCATAAAGAAGAAGCAGATGCTCAACTCTCCCCCAAGGGAATCAGAGGTTCAGGGGGAACCAGCATCATAATTGGCTGGAGCACTAGTGATCTCTGACGCTCAGGGGGAACCTGTATCAGAGGTCCAACCTCTCTCTGTACCAGAACTGCAGGTCATCATCTCTTCACCAGGGGTCCAAACCACATCTGGTGGTGTTCCTGAAGCAGATCCCATCTTTGCCCTTGAGAGACAATTTCAAAGGGTGTTAACATGGAGAAAGTGGAGAATGGGACCTCTGCATCAGATACTTGCACAGGCTGCAGAATTTGAATCTGAAGAAGTTGAAGTCCTCAAGTGGGCAGGAACTGATGATGTATCCCTATGCTTCGACCTTCAGTTCCTCCACTCTATTTTTGACAAGAAGAAAGGCAACCTCAAAGGGAAAGGAAAAACGACTGTCTCACCATCAGAAGAGCATGTCAAACCTCTTGCTGAGAATGAGATTCCAATCTTTGAGGAGTGGCTGTTAGAGAAGAAGAGGAAGGAATCTCTGATCAAAATGAGACCTATCCCAGGTGCAGAAGGTGAACCATCAACTGCCAACAATGTAGCTCTGGCAATGATGAATCTAATCAAAGAATGGAGGAACTCCCCTCTTGACGAAACAGTACTTGAGGTAATACCTGAATCCCCTATTCCTCCTACCACTGTTCAACTCACTCCATCTCCACCAAAATCTCCCTCACCCAAACCAACCACAACTCCTTCTCCTCTACAAGCTCAGAAATCACCCTCTCCATCACCTAAGAAATCATCCTCACCTAAACAACCATCACCCTGCCACCAGATAACCCCCATCAGAAGCCGCTCACCATCACCCCCTCCTTCACCCCAACATCAGAGTACCCCCGCTCTACACGCTCAACCTCATCAGAGCTCAGCCAATCAGAGATCCAAATCTGCTCCTCATCAGAAATCCTCCGAACCTCTCTCTCCACAACATTCTGCTGCCTCCACTCAGAAGAGAGAACATGTTGTACGGATTCTATCTTCCTCTGAAGACAATGATGGTTTTCTCACAGCTTCAATGGCTGGTGATCTCCAATCTAACAAGAGGAAGACACCTACTCCCCCTCCATCTTCTGCTCAACCTCAACCCCAGGTCAATGAAATACCTCAGCCAGAACTTCCAAAAGCTGTCCTCATCCCCTTCCAGGAGTTTGTGGAATCAGCTGAAGACTTTGGAGATCAGATGGTTGCAGGACTCAACAAGATGCTTGTACTGAATCAGAAGCATGATGCTCATCTGGATTTGGTTCAGTACAACATTGAGTCAGAACTTGCCAAGATATCCACAACACTCTCTACCTTGGCAACTACCTTCTTGAGCTACATGAAGACATCTAGTGTAACGCCCCTCTCAGGGTTAAAGAGAACGTTACACTAGCATACTACTTTTTTAAAAAATTATTGCAATATAACGGCCGTTGTTTAAGAAATAACCCTGATAAAATCTCAAATATAATTAAAGTATAACTCTTGATAAAAACTCAATAAAATATAGTTATCACCAGCACATGTGATAACTACCTGGATCCAGGAATTTGCTAAAACTTCAAATCCTCAAATAAAAAAAATAAAGTAATATAAGTCACTTTATTATAACACTGAAATACTGAAACCAAATATTATCTAGCTAGAAGCCACCAAGGTCGTTC